TGTTCACAATTTGAGTAACGGTGCATCGGAACCAGATCATCGGGTTGGGGAACTGACAACGGGGTATGAGAGGTATGTGAGCTGTCCCGGCGCATACCCAAAGTCCAACGTTGGCTTGTGAGAGCGAAAAGCAGGAAAGCCTCAAGGGTCAGCCGTGTTCAGTCCAAATTCGGATCCAGTAAATTGTGGTCTTGTGTATGTACATATCTTGCTTACAATGCTCGACGATCCCTAGCAACTCAAATGTGGTTTAAAAGATTGCAGTACCGTTGACATGCGAAGCGACACCCCCAGGGCAATTGGCTGGCGCGCTGGTGAAGAAGAAAACCCACCTGTTCTTCTCCCTACATGTTTGCGCTAGCTTCTCAAGATCTAGCATCTCGCCCAGTGGCATTCCCCAGAGCGCCAAAACTGTCGTTATGATTAGCGCTGCGTAATTTAGAGATAGTTGGCACAACTTACTGTACTCATGCAAATGGTAATCCTCATGCGTAGGCCAGGCTTCAAACGCAGGTGCGTCACCTGCGACCGTAGCGAAATAGCAATCGTGCAACCAATCCAGGATCTTCTGCTCCTGAGAAACTCCCGCATAACGCGCACCATCCTCACCATTTGGACCGTGCCTTGTCGCAGCCTTTGTCCTGTCATCATCTGACTTGCTATCGTACGCTTCCTTCCAGCCACTGCGGATGAACAACATATCTCCAATCCTGATGTCTCCACCCTCCGCTGCCGGCCTAATATCAATTCCTTGGTCTTTTCCACACTGGTACAGCTCCTCCCACGAGATTGGATAGTAATCGTAGGGGTCGTAGTTGATGCCCTTCTTATGCGCATATCCTCGGTAGTCAAGCAGCACACCGCGCCCCGCGACACCATGCTCAGCCCAGTGGTGAATGGAACACTTGTGATTCGCAGCTGGTCCAGCAATGTCCGAGCCCTTCGTGCCGTTGTAAAACGAGCCTGAGGGGATGTGCGCGAAGTGACGGAAACCATCCCATTGCGTGCCGGATTGTGTGTTCATGTGGTAGACGTCATCGTATGCGATGCCTTCGTGTAAAGTCTTGATCTCGTGTTTAAACTCTTGGCGGCCAAAGGCTGGCTGGTTCGGGACGTTGAGAGGAAGGTTGACGGGTACAATCTCGCCGGAACGGATTTCTTTGGCTGCGGCGGCTACACGGGTTGGTGTTAGGAGGTTGAGACGGCCGATCTGTTGTTTGTTAGTACGAACATGTCGATAAATGTTTCCAGTATCATACGTAGTCGTCTGTGCCCCATGTCCAGGCAGCTTCCTTGGGAGCTCCTGGTATATCCGGAAGCTCTTTCCTAGTGGGAAACTTGGTCGAGTTTGGATCCCATGGGATTGTGGTAGCTGTCTTGTTCATGGTTAAGAAATCAGTGATCTGCGTCAAGCGCGTGCTTGCGGTGTTCTTCGGTTCTGCCATTGTATCGCTCTCTCGGGTCTAAACTGGACTGTGTAATAGCAAAGCTGTGAGATTGGAGATATCCTGGAAATCTGATGGATATAGGCAGATGATCTACCCCGCTAGTGTCTACGTAATTATATTCGCCCCGCAAATGCATCGCCGTTAGAGGAAATGTCGACAGCAACGCGCCGAGGCATCTGTGAAGTGTGGGGTCGCAGTTGGGCCGTTTGAACGACTTTCGCGGGATGACTCGCCTTGTTCAGTGCGCAACCTGCAGCCATAGTGCGCGAGGACTTCCACATTCAAGGCTATTTGAGCCTTACGCGCCCAGTTCCGAGATGTATAGATTGCAATGACGAGGATACTGAGATGCAGACCCGCAACTCTATGAAGCATGACGTAACATCAACGCTACCTGAAGCTCGGTCCATTCCGAAATCATTGCCATTCCGCACAGTCCTTGCTCATCACGTCTACACCTTGGAATACCCTCGAGTACGGCGCGTTTTAAGCCACCAGATAACGAAGATGGTGAAGTTGACAGCCTCCAAGCCAGCTAGGCCAACACCAGCCCAAAAAGCGAACCGCTACAACAGTTGTCAGCTTGAACTTCTCAGCTTGTCTCAGCCACTTACCATTTCCGTGCAGGACTCTCCGAACTTGACATTCTCGTACCCATAATTGCGATGTGTACATGTCCATGAACTGCGCAAGTGAGCTTGGTAGAGCTTCATTGATGGACTCATACTCACAGCAGATCCCAGCTGGTCTCAGAAGTGTCCCAGGTACCATAGTACGCTGTCACGGCCACCCACAACGCGAGGCATATAGCAGAGACGACCATCGTGCTGATGTTGCCGACCTTTGTCATCCGTCGCACCTAGACCTTGTCAGCATCCAAGAGCCTGGTGCTGAGGCTCGAGATGGACTTACGGCTTTAGTCAACGCTGCGAGAACCAACACAATATTGAACACTCCAGCAGCCATTGCAGCTCCCAGGAAGATATAAGTCGGATACATCTTCAAGCCTTCTTGCTCTGGCCAGACCGAGAGGCTTCCGCTACCGTCTTGAAATGTATTCCTGACGTGGCTTGTCCTCCTATAGTTGCGAATGGCGTCGAAGAGGCTCATACAGATTAGAGCGCATGTCAACATCGAGACAATGCGCAGAATCAGACGAACCCAAGAAATAAGTCGGTGATCGTGGATTTCTGGTGCGGATTGGCGTTTCTCATTGCGACGTTCGGCAAGGATGATCTCGGCTGCGTTGTTTTCCATCTTGACCTTGAGCTCGAATCGCTCCGAATCGACAGGAAGAAAGCCGTGAGAATTGCGAAAGCGCTGAACGATGGCCAGCAGCGCGTCTTATCGTCGTTGTCAGCTGCGGCGCGGTACGCCATAATCTCACACCCTTACCAACCTCGGAAGCCAAGCGAGGCTGACGGTGGTCAGATTCCATCTCGCACTGCACCTGGAATTGCTGATGTGAGAAACTGAAGTATAGCTATGATTGGAAGTCGAAGTCAGATAGACAATGGTCAACTAGAGAAACGTGCGGCACCAGGCTCAAGCTTGGGATCTTCCTACACAGTAGTCCCAACCTGCTCCTGCCCAGAACTTTGTGCCATTCCCGTTCATAATCAACAACTTCCGCTGCAGACCAGAGTTCCGTCCGAATTGACGCACATTACTGTGTTCTATGAGTTGATCATTTCTGGACCGAAAGCTAGCATGGAATGGCCCGTGCGCTAGAGCTTTCTTTCCGCTTCCAGATAGCAACTTTGGGAGGCACACTTTCTTGTGTACATCTCAATGTACCTTTGAGTCCCTCCACAGCCTGCATTAAGAGTCAGCACATCTTTTACGTCCACAGCGCAAAACTGTGACTTCCTTCAACTGCCACACAACAAGATTTACCAGAGCCCCTCATTTGGCGCTGAAGCCTCATGCTGCATGCTCCCACGTTTGCGACGGTTACTGAGAGCTCTCCTACAACCTTTGATCCTTATCTTAGGTACCGCCATAGTTGTCCGGCTGTGGACGTCATCGAAGAAGCCAATGTCACCTTCACGTTCTGCCAATGAGGTCGCCTCTGCTCTGCTTGCAGAAAAGGGCCTAAATCTGGTCTCGATCTCATTGCTGCAGTCGCTCTGGGCCGGATATGGGCAGATTTGTTGCCTTCTTGCAACTGACGGCTCGTCAAAGACGCGTTCATTGATCCTTAAATTGATCACCCCACCACCCACAAGAGCTGGAGATGAAGGTCATACCAGAAAAATTTTGAGTTATCAAGTCGAGCAATACTTCTACAGCCATTTGGCGCCTCAGCTTCCAGTTTCTGTACCTGTTGCAAGCTGTCTGGTAAGCATCAATCAGCACCATCCAGATGGAACGTCGACTACGGCCATGATTCTCAACGACTTGAAGCAAGAATACCCTATCGCTGGCGAGAAGCGAAGTGCGCTGACACCAAACCAAGTCAATGCAGCGCTGGACTGGCTCTCTGGGTTTCATGGTTTCTGGTGGCCCCGCGTGAAAAACTTCGATAGCGCTCAGCTAGTGTTGCCACCCTTGGAAGAGGTCACACACGATGGCGAGAATGCTGCAGAGAAGTCTGTCTGGTTGAATGGAGGCTACACTTATCTCGCTACTCGACGCAGCGAGTACAACAGCCTGGTGGACGATGATGACTCAGAGTGGACGGAGCTATTGACAGCACCGTTGGAGGGCCAGGTGCAGTCGCTCGCCGAACTGGTCGCTGCATTCCTTACACCATCAGCTTCCGCTCGAAGTCCTATCGGGGAATACCAAACACTTATTCATGGCGACGTCAAATCGGAAAATCTCTTCACTAGCAAGTCCGGGGAAGAAGTAGCATTTTACGACTTCCAGTATACGGGCCTTGGTCTCGGTGTCTGCGATCTGGCGAAACTGTTCACTTGCTCCGTACCACTCAGCATTTTAGTTGCAGACGACAGCGTTCCTGATATTTTGGAAATGCAAGAGGGCGAGAAGCAATTGTTGCAGAGATATTGGTCAAGATTGAGGCACACGAGTCGCAAAGAGTACGATTGGGAGGTGTTCATCCAGCATTGGGAAATTGCGCTCGTCGATTGGCTGCGGTTCCAGGCGAGTTGGGGCTTTTGGGGAAATACTGAGTGGTTGGAGGCACGTGTCAGGAGCATTCTTGAGGATAAAAGGTGGCGGGATGCGTTGACCAAGTCAGTAGGTAGTAAGTAGTAAGCGTCTGGCTTTGGAGCAGCCACAGGATAGCGAGAAGTTGGGAGGAAGTCAACAACTACCTGTGAGTGTCTCGCAACTGAACGAAACCGCTGGACCCTACAATCATCTTGCTGTGATGGCTGATTGGGTCAAGCCACCAGCTGATGCCCCACTTACCCCTCCTTCGAAGCTCACGGACACTTTTCAAGCCTCGTAACCAAACCTCGCAACGAATATGACAACATTTGGAACTAGTGATGTGGACAGGATCGCAGTCGACATGCAACTGGTATATATTGAATATTATTTGACCCTTCGGCATAAGCTCGGTTGATTATCGACTTCGAAGAAGCCCGTTTGGCTTAGTGGTACAGCGTCTCACTCGTATTCAAACCAACAGTCGACATGAGAAGATCCTCGGTTCGATTCCGAGAATGGGCAACGTTCTTTTTGCTATCGTCGATCGTGCATCCTTTTTGTTTTGGTGCTTCTCCAGCGGCAAAGGTCAACTGCAAATCGCAGGATCTTACAGGTCGTCATTCACTGCCCATGACTGTCTGCAGGCTGAAAATCTTCTTGTAGGATACGAAGATTATACCACTTTAGTGGAACGTTTCTCTTTGCATGAAGAGTGCATCGTTGTTCTAAAACGAGGGCATGCATCACTTCGATAGGCGCACAGCCAAAGAATTGAGGGACAGAACCTCAGAACCTCAGTCAACAGAGTAACCGTGCATCATCACACGCTGATCATGAACGCAGCTAGTACACTAGACAAGAACCTTGAAGCTGTTAATCTACGCCGGACCGAGTCCATCGAATATCACTTCATCGGAGGCAACCAGCCCATCGCTGCGACCTGGTATCATGTTTGTAGGCTACATAAAGTATTGCTATTGTGACAGCCGTCTTACTAACACTACGTTACTCGACCGCTTGTTCAAGTTATGCGTCATGGGTGTTCCCTCGCCTACGAGTAGACGAAGCCGTTGGAGCTGACGATCGAGAAATTATATGTGTTCAGGCAGCAGATGGTAGGTATTCCAGCGATGCCATGAATAACATCGGTAGAGTACGGACACTGAAGAGTGTGAAAGACAATCCATGGGTGCTTGCAGAGGTAGTCAGCAATGATGCTAGAACTGAGGCGGATAAAGACCAGCATTGCCTTGAAGTATCTCAAGACCATGATGTAGACCTGAATATCTCTCCACTTCTTCTACACAGCTGAATACGCCGGAGGAGGCTTTGCTGCGTATCCACGATCTTGATGTGGAGCCGGATCAGACGGCCTTGCACTTGGACCCGCGTCTTCGCTCTGCCCGTGTGTCGCGCGCAGAGCAGTCTCCTTAGCACAGTAGTAGAGACAAACAGCCAAAGCAACCACAAGCGGCAGCACCACAAACAAGCCCACGGTAAAGCCAAGTATGAGACCAATCTCCAGCGTAGGTTAGGTAGCCAGCAACTGCCGCTCCACAAACGCGACAACAGCATCGTTCAGCGTAGCTCCCGTCTTCAAGTACCCAAACTTGCCCCTCGTCACAAGATTCCCTCCAATTGCCTGCGCATCATCCACATACCCACAACTCCCCTCGTTCCACCCGGCGCAGAATACCTTTGGATTCTTGACAAGTTCCAAGCGAAGTTCGGTCCCAGGCACGACAGCGCTTCTGCAGTGACCCTCGGGGCACGTGAGGTAAGGCTCAGGGTCGTTGAAGAGGGCTTTGCGAACAGTCTCCGGATACGTGAGAACCCACTCTTTGGAGACGTAATGCAGGACGCGCTTTTCCTTGGTGTCGAGCGCCAATGAATCGTCGGGCGATAGGAGGGTGAAGTATATCCAGTCACGGTCGTCTGTGTGGCAGTCGGTGAGAAGGTAGTCCGGATGGCTTGAAAGTGTTCCGCGAGGCTTCTTAGTGCTTTTGGATGTGATCAGTTTCCCTGGAGATCGCTTGACGATGATGGAGAGTGTTGATGCTGGAGGCGGTGCAGCTTGCGAGGCGGTCTGAAAGAGCAATGCAGTGGGTTTTGGCTCTAGAACGGTGGCAGTACTACGGCCAGCTGTCCACTCCCGATCTGGCCCAGATATAGTCGGTACTGCGGCAGGACCGTGTCCATTGGTCCAAGGGCGGACAGTTGGCGTCGCGACTACAGGCCTATGGCCAAGGGTGAAGGGATGAACGCGTGTTGTGGGCGAGGAAGCAGTCAAGACCATAACATGGTCATGTTCCATGGTAGAAGGAGACTCGAGCACAGAATTCGACGGCAGAGCCGTCACCGGCACAATGCTAACACGTCCAGTAGCGCTGATCGTCGGAAATTCCAAAGAACTCGGTACGACCAGCTGCCGCGCAAATAAAGCCGAGAAGGAGCTCGCAACCGAAGCTGCAAGTGGAAGACCGAACAGCATCTTGTCTCTTTTAGTGTTCGGAATCAACTGTGGGATTGAGGAAGAGAATGAGAGGGCGGATATCGAGACGAGAAGTACTGCCTCACCCAGAATGCAAGTGGTTGTGCGCTCCTCGCCCATGGCTCATGAGGAGAAGTCGTAAGGTATCGAACCCTGAGCCAAACCTTAACGCATTGCACCACATCGACACCCAGGCAATTCGAAGACTTAACTGAGAACGACGAAAATCAGTGCGACCTGCCATAGATTTGCGATGAGTTGGTCTGGTAGTAACTCAACGGATTTGAGAAGCAGGCAGCGGGCCATGAGGTAAGCGCCGTACATCAACAGTCCAAGAGCGAAGTGAAGTGCTACTTGCGCAACAGCAATGCAGATGAAGAACACAAGTCTGTTTTTGAGGAGATCGGCGGGCATTTCTACCAGTCGGCTGGGAAGAATTTGGATGGTGCTGTGAGAGAGGTGGACGTTGTGATTCAAGAGAAGAAACATGTAGAAAATGCAAGCGAGAATTCCGTGAATAATCTGATACCCTGGAGGTCAACAGGGTCTCTTAAGCAAGCGTTGGAGGCTGACAGAGAGTATGGACCAAGAGTCGCTTGCGCAGTTGCTCATTGCACCGTCCAGTTCTGTGTACTTACGCCGTCCCGTTGTCAACCTCACGAGCATATTGGGCTCGTCGAAGGTTTGCTCGCCGGCTCACTCGGGTTGGTCTGGCCGCACCCAGTTACAGCACCAAACAGCGTGTCGTCTACCGCAGCATGGAAGGCTGCGCCACAGTTCGCATCACTCAAGTGTCGTCAGCCCCGACCTGGCAGTAAGGATCCATGACATACCTTGCACCCCCAGCCGCATTGTTGAACCACGAACAAACATCATGGCTAAAGCAGTCTTGTGTATACGCATTACCGACTGCAGTGCCAGAACATCCTGCGCCGCAGCGACCGTTGCATGAATATCTGCCTCGTTAACACTCGTGTCGGGATACATTTTGGGAAGGTATGGTGACGCACTCTCCGCCGTTAACGCTGTTAGTGCCGAAATTACTTCCTACTGTGCCAGTCCAACGACATGTCTTCCCTGCTGAATCCTTCCATGTTGCGGTCGCTGTGGTGCCGACCTTGACGCAGGTAATGGTGCGCTTCTCGAGAGGATTAACGGGCGAGGCAAGAGCGACGGAGGCAAGGGCTAGCGAGGCGAGAAGTTCGAACTTCATGGTGACGGTTTGGGCTGGAAGGGTCTGACGCTGAGACTACTACTTGAGGACCTTGTTGAATGAGATTTGTGAAGACAACAGCTGCCTATACGTACTGTCTACGTCTCGGTGTAGGTCCCAGTTGTGTCTAAGGTCGCCAGCGCATATATGAGCGGAGGCTGCACCGCAACCTCGGAGTGGGCGACGGGTCTCAATTTGTTAGCATCGCGGTGCTACACCGGGATTTGCATGTCCACATGTCGTCAAAGTGTAGGTCGAGACAGTATGTAACCGGCACGCATTTACCACCCCTCCACTTAGCTATCCGCCTGAGTCGGTGAAATGACTCGTTCAAGCAAACGTTTTTCGCCGTACGGTGGACCTGGTAGCTAGTAGTCAACTACACGGTCCGCACACTGAGCATCATGTGGACGGTCCGGTTGATTTGCAATTTAGGACAGGACAAATTACCTATTCAGGTAGTCATGATGCCTCGGCTTATCCCTGTTCGGCACTGACGCACGAAATCTGGGGTCGTCATACAAGGATCCGATGTTGTAATGCCGCTGCACACCCAAACATTCGGCGACTTGATGGACCGCTGTCTGTCTGTTGCAGGCGAGAAGCTGTCGAATGAAAAAATGTCGATTCAAATAGTGTGCCATGGTGAAGCGATATGTTACCAGAAGCGATGCTCGCATAGCTCTCAAAATCGATTACCTATAGCGTACCGTCTGTTGCTGCTGCTTCGTTGGACCCTGCCATAGCGCCATTTGGCTGTGGCGGTGCCGTGTCTTCCTTAGCCAAAGTCTGAGCTGGCGTGTTCACAGCTGTAAAATGCGGGGAGGTCTGGTTCACGGACTGCTCCATAGACACATCGTCGAAGATATCATCCGCCTCCCTCTCTTCTCGCTCTTGCTTCTTGATTTGTTCCCACTCTTCCTTAGTCTTGATTGGGCCCATCAGCGTTGTGGAAAACTCGATCTCGCCTCTTAGCTGAGGCGTGCTCGACCTGGATCCCTGCACGGCTAGTTGATCAGCTGCGACGTTGCCCGGATCGTTGGCATGCCCTTTGATCCACTTGAGTTTTGTCTTCGCTTTGCATGCTTCTCGCTCGCATACGCGCGATACAATGGGCTCAACCAAGTCTCTATTCTCGACATCCTTACCAGCCGAATTTTTCCAGCCGTTTCTCATCCATTTCGGCGACCACTCTATTATACATCGTATCGCATAATACGAGTCGGTGACAATCAAGACATCTCGATCGATGGGTACGTGGTCAAGTGCTCGAGCGACGGCTGTCAACTCAGCGCGCTGATTCGTTTGCTTCGATCCTCGCAGTGGTTCCGAAACATTTCTGCTTGTGGTGTCAGCGTATGTTGAAGCCTCTCAACGTCAGGATGTCATACCTCTTGTCGTTAGCACCGAAGTAGACGCCAACGCCAGCGACAGCTCCAGTTTGACCATTTCCAAGAGAGCTGCCATCGGTGTAGACAACGATCTGACCCGTGAAATCGCCAGTCGGCTGTGTTTTCGTAGCACTCAGCTCAGCCTCGGTCTTGTGTCTGATGGCACCACTTTCTAGATCCATCTTCAGCGTGCGATCAAAGCCGTCTTCTGCGCCTTCTGGTAATGGGCCCATGCCAGGCTCGTATTCGATATCGCCATTTGTGACTACTGTAGCCGCGAGACCGCTGTTCTTCTTTTGCTTCTTCGAGACAGTGTCGCTGACTTTGCAGCCTTGGCCAACTGCCGAAGAAGCCTCAGACAAGTCGCCGCGCAAGCTGATAGGTACACTATGGTCACGCCTATGCTCGTTGACGAAGGCTTGAGCTT